TTTTTTTTTCTTTTTTATACTTTGACAGTAATTAAGTTTGCATTTAGATGGGTTTTTGCCGGCATGTAATTTTTTTATAAGCATCATAAAGAGTTAGAATTTTTTTTATTAATAGTTAAAAATAATATAGTCCGTACAAAATAGATTATGTTGTAACATTCTCTTTCTTAATTATGATATTAAATTTTGTTTTTCCTTTATAATTTCAGTTTGACATTAGGGGGGACCCATACGGGATTCTAGCAGCGCACCCAATAGCGCCACTTGTCTCGTTCCACCACCTGGATTACGTGGCCCCAATTTTCCCCGACAAGACCCAAACAGACTCCGTGAAGGTACTCATGGGAGCATACCGGGCGGACCCGCCCCGGATCCTGCAGCAGAGCTTCTGCTATGATATCAACCGGAAATGGTCGTTTCTCATCGCTTGGGGCTACACCATCCAGATATACCCATTGCTGCTGACACCATTCCACCTGCAGACGCCGCTGCAGACGTTCAAGACCTGGAGGAGTTGGAGCAATGGACCCTTCACCTTCAACACCCGACCCCCGCCACCAGACCCATGTCAACAACCGGCATTATATTTCCTGGACCGGGTTGATAAGGTAGGCGTGGCGGGTACCCAGACTAGCTACAAAATGGCACAAGCAGATAAGAAATGTAACAGCACAAACCATACCAATGTAATGGCAGTGAAGAGAATTACAGTGTCCTCCCTGAAAATGCCTCCAGATTATTGGCAAAAGGTGAGTTACATAAAACCCCTATCAGATTGAGTAATATTTGTAATAATTTTATTATGTGTCCTGGTAAAAGAATTGATGATCCTGATGGTTTTGTTTATCCAGGCACCACAAAGACAATGCTGTGAGATCTTGGATCATGGAAGAATAAAGGATAGCAGTTTACGAATTCGGGTTAGGAAGTGCAGACAATGGGAGAATGTTGGTGTCTAGAGATGGTCGGGCTGACTTGTATAGAGTTGAGAAGATCATTCATGGAGATTAACAGATATTAATTAATAATGTCTCGGTTTTTTCCATGAAAAGGAGACAGATCATTATTTCAAGTGCCTCTATGTAGAAGGGTAATCAAGGGTTAGTGGATGTAAGTTTTTTTTTTTTTTAAGTTCCTATTTCCATTTTACAAAGTATTATTTCCTATGTGGAATGAAATGATTAGAAATGTTAGAGTGGAAGACCATAGTGTTCCTACTCTGGAAGGTGTTGGGAATTTGGATGTGAATTGAGAAAAGCATAGGTTATAGATCATAAGAAGCCACTATAAACCCACAGAAAAAATTGGTTATAATAAAGAAAGGTAAAAATTAAAATGTCTTAATATTTTAAATCTAATGAAAAATAATTTTACAAGAGGTCCTAATATTTTAAGTTTCAAAATGTCTTGATTTTTTAAAATCCCATTACAATATTGATCACATATCATGGATATTAAAAAAACAAAGACATTATCACATTTCACTTGCACTTGAAACAAAATGTTACCAACCTCAGAAAAAAACTGCAACAGTGAAGTTCTTTCTTGGTTCCACAACAATTTCAAGATTGAGAATGCAGCAATGTGCTAATTTCAAAGTGAAGTGCCTCTTGTTGCATTTTCCTGCAGTTAGATTTACTCCAACATTATTGACAACGAAACAATGAAATGCGAGAGAGAAACTAGCGCAGCCAGGACGTCGAGCAGCGCGAGAGGGAGGTAGAAAGGGACTGTGGATGAGGGAAAGAGACGAGGGGCCTGGGTTTTGGTGGGAATTTGGAAGATATGATCCGTTCAGGACGTTGACGGTGTCGGACAGTACCACACTGCCATTTCTTGATTTTGGGCTCTTCGGCTTCTGGGACAATGATGGGCTTAACCCATTTACTATTGGGACTTGATAAGGTCCAAATTCCATAGATAGGCTTTCTCCCTCAATCTTGTCCATACTTTTCAAGGTTTTAACAACCGATTCGGTGCTCGACTTGCGTTGGATTTGGTTGAATTTGTTTTATCAATTGATTCAATTGATCATATAAAAAATGATATTTTTAAATTTAAAAAAAGTAAAAAGTAAAATTTAATTTTAAAACATACAATAATTATATAAATATTAAATCACTTAACTCAATAGTCTTTATTGCTAGCATTTCAATTTTTTAAATTTATTCATAATTTAAATAAAAATTGAATGTAATAATTAGTAATTTCATAAAAGTTAAATAAAAATTTTAATTTAAATCTTTTAACATCAAACAATTTTTATAAAAAAAATAAAAAGAAAAGGAAAAAACAATATCATTAAATCAAATTGCATTTAATATTTAAACATTAAGATTTTGAATATTATCAAATCATTATCATTATTATTTATGATTTTATTAAATAAACAATTTAAAATATTAGAAATAAAAGCTTAATTTAATTTAGTAACATGATTTATAATTTGAGTTTAAAGGTATTTAATTTAATTTTGTTATCTTATTTTTACAATGAACTAATTTATATATTTTATTTTGTGAAAATATTTTTCTAACATGTTCTTTTGTATTTAATGTGCCTTTTTTTTTTGAGGAAATATTTAATGTGCCTTTTAATAATTAATTTGTATAAACAAATAAAGATTAATTTTAATTTATTAAGGGGTTGTTTAATCTTTGTTCACTAAAGACATAGGTTAAACTTCATTAAATATAGAATTTTTAATTAATTTTACACAAATTTGTATATCAAATTCTTACTTTTTACAAATTTCAAGTATAAATATTGTATTATATTTCAATTTTACATTTTATGTTTTATTTTAATTGAATATAATATAAAAATTTGTATAAAATTAATTAAAAATACTATATTTAAATTTTTTTTACCTATACTCTTAGGGCATATATTAAAAATTTTCATTTATTAAATATGCAATTAAAATCATCAACATGATATTGACTTAGAAAATAATTAATTATTAAAAATTACATAAATGCACTCTAACTTTTACCAAGTTAAAAATATAATATAATATTATATTATATTTTAATAAATAAAATTTTGTTTAAAAATGACAATAGTGGTGAGGGTGGCTTAGTGGTGAAAACCCTAAAATGTGTATTGAGGTAGTGGGGTTTGAATCTCCTTGTACACTAATTTGTTGAAAGATATTCAAGATTTATGAACCAAATGATTTACCAATTAAAAAACTAATAAATTTGATCAATTTTTCTAAGTTATTCAAAATTTAAAATTAAAATTTTGTTTAAAAATGACAGTAGTGGTAAGGGTGGTCTCGTGGTGAAAACCCTAAAATGTGTGTTGAGGGAGTGGGGTTTGAATCTTCTTATACATAAACTTGTCGAAAGATATTCAAAATTTATGAATCGAATGGTTTACCGATTCAAAAACTAACAAGTTTGGTTAGTTTTTCTGAGTTATTCAAAATTTATAAATTGAACGGTTTATCAATTCAAAAACTAACAAGTTTAATCGATTTTTTTAAATTATTCAAAATTTATGTACTGAATGGTTTATCAATTCAAAAACTAACAAGTTTAATTGATTTTTCTAAGTTTTGACTAAGTTTTATTCATTTTGACTGAATCTCACTACACATGTGTTTATGTCATGACTTAAACTGTTTTTATAATCAATTTTGTTTCAACCAATCAAATTGACCGTCGATGTAGATTTTAAAACTGTGATACTTCCTTTACAACCCGCAATTAACATCTTCGATCGGACCCTACCAATCCCGTCCATTTGCACCTTACCCCATTTGGGATGGGCACAAGTTTGAAAAAGTCTATTATCTAATAATAATATTTTGACTCTCCCCCCCCCCTTTTTTTATCAATCATAATATATTTGACTAGGTTTAAAAGTCCATAAAAATTAAATAGTTTTTCAAAATAATAATTAAATGGTATGTCCCAAGACAAATATGTGAACCAGTTGCATATTTCGGTGTGATACCACCATATAGACGGCCTATGTATGTCCTAAGATTGTAATCAAAGAACTTCCAACCATATTTTAAGAGCTCGCTTGGTTAGAAATTGTAAAAATAAATTAAATTGTAAGGAAATAATTGTATGCTAAATAAGGAACGCAAATTTCATACTAACATCTATTTAGTTTTTAATTAATATGATAAAAACAAGTTACTAGTAGCTAATAATAAATATTTTTAAAGTTCAATTTATTAATAAATAAGTATTATATTAAAAATTAGATTGAAAGTTTAAGTTTTGAAATTAACATTAAAAAATTTTATTTTTTTGAATACATCATGTTGATATGAGAGATGTATTTTTACAATAATTCATAATTATTATTAATTTTTTTATTTAATTCATAATTATAATTATTAATAAAATAATTAATATTAATTAGTTAATAAATTAATATTTTTAAATATATTTTATAAATAGTGATCTTACGTTATGAATAGCGACAATAACCATAACGGACAATTGTTGCCACATCTGAATTTCCAAGTTTTTTTTATTTTAAAGAAAAAGGATATCGCATCAGATAATCCTCCATTGGATGCAAATCAAATTGCCAAAAAAAGTACATACACGTTGCAGATTCCTTGGGCGGAAGTGGAACTGGCTCGAAGCTTGCTCAACCAGCAATGTCTTGGTATTGGTAAGTTGGCAACCCCAAAAAGGAACGAATCTAAATAGAAACAGAGAACACCGGAATGGATAGGTGTGCACCGAAAATAGGCATGGTGAAGCGGAGACAACACAGAAAATGGCAAAGACTAGGCAACTGTTGAATATAGGAAGAGGTCATGTATTGGCATAGATACCTTGTCGGGACTCGCAGCCACTGACGCGTCCTCTCATGCGCACGTTACCCCACGCTTCTCTGGACTTCGACCCATTTCTTCATTTCCCATTTTCCCACCACCAACTCTCAGAAATACACTCCGCCTTCTGCCTCCTTCGCATGCACCCTTTCCCACTCTATCCCTACTCATTATTCCAATCATTCTTTGACACCTGGAATCCTGTGGGTATTTTGGTCATTTTACGATCAGTTTGATGGTAGGGTCTAGCGTGGGGTAGACGTCTTGGGTGTAGGGTATAAACACTCACTCAAACTTTGTACAGCGAGGAAACAGTAAAAGAGAGACAGCCCAAAACTGGGCACTGCAAAACCGCCTGTGTTCGGACACTGGAAATGGGATAATAGAAATCCTTATTTGTACTCCAGCGGAAGTGTTAAGTACTTCAACGTACGCATAGTCGCACAGGACAACCAGAAGATCGCTGAAGCTGCGGCTGCGGCACACAAGGAACCGAAAGTAGAGATTCTCTGCATACAGAAAGGTACAAAAGTTGCGTTCTTTGATCCATCTCGTAACTTTCAGCGCGAAGAAAGCAGAAAGTTTACATCTTGTGCAGCTGGGTCTCTTTCATTTCATCAAAGATCAAGTCTTTGTGCATTTTCTGTTTTTGGGTTTCAGGGTTTTTGCAATTAGGAGGTTAGTGGTTAGGGTTTTTCATGCAAAACAAGAGGAACCCATGTCTTGGATGTCCGATTCATGCAACGGGTTTTGGTGGGGATAAGGTTTTGGATTGATTCTCCTTGGTTTTGAGGTTGTACATTAGAGATCTCTTACTCTCAATCTACTGCAGCTAAAAAACAAAGAACAGAGAGAGGGAAGAGAATCTCTATTTTGTTGGGTATTTGTCATTATCCCCTCCTCTTTTTCAAGATCAATCCTTTGGTTTTGATTGAAGCCAAACATGGCGAATCGTTGGTGGGCTGGAAATGTTGCAATGAGAGGAATGGAGCCTGTAGCTTCAGCTCCATCACTTCACCTCAGAAGTCAAGAGGAAGAGCGGACACCTTTGAACCGTCTTGGGCAGAGAAAAGAACAGGAATTTATTGATAACAACGCTGGCGGAGAGAGCAATAGCCCTAATCCCACAACTCCGAACCAGGACCAGAACCAGGAGGAAGAAGAAGACAACAATCAGGAATCCGAGGAGATGAATACTGCCCTCGTAACTATCGAACCAGGCTCCGCTTCCTCCTCTCGTCGGCCTAGAGGCCGGCCTCCGGGTTCCAAAAACAAACCGAAACCCCCCATCGTCATCACCAAAGAAAGCCCTAATTCTCTCCGAAGTCACGTGTTGGAAATAAAAAGCGGCAGCGATATAGCTGAGTGCATCGCAAATTTCGCTCAGCGCCGCCACCGTGGAGTGTCTGTTCTTAGTGGCAGCGGCATTGTCACTAATGTTTCCCTCCGCCAGCCAGCGGCACCCGGTGGAGTGATTACTTTACATGGAAGATTTGAAATTTTGTCGTTATCTGGGGCTTTTTTGCCCCCGCCATCGCCAGCTGGGGCAACGGGGCTAACTGTTTATATGGCGGGCGGGCAGGGGCAGGTCGTGGGGGGCAGCGTAGTGGGGGCGCTGGTGGCATCAGGCCCTGTGATGGTGATTGCGGCGACTTTTGCAAATGCTATTTATGAGAGGCTCCCTTTAGAGGATGATAATGGAGGTGCTGATAGAAACGGAGGAGGAGAAGGGCAGCAGCAAGGCAGTGATGGTGGTGGCGGCGGCGGAGGTAATTCAGGGAGCCAGTCTCAGGGTTTTGAGCAAGGCGGTTCAATGCCTCTCTATAACTTATCTCCTAATTTGCTGCCTAACGGACAAATGCCTCATGATGTGTTTTGGGGTCCTCCGGTTCGTCCTCCATCTTACTAAATTCAGTCTTCAAAAATGGTTTGGCTTTTTCCCGACTATGGTTTTGTTAAAAAAAATTTACGGATGCATGCTTAATGTTGATATAAGTTTATTAGGGAGGAAAGTAGGGCTTTTTGGTTATAATTTCTTCATTTTGTGAATCTGATCCGGCTAATGCTACGGCTTTGTTTTATGTTCTGGAACTTGTATAATCTAGAACTTTGTAGAACGCCTTTTTTTCTTCTCCCTAATCAGCTTTTTACCGGAGCAATATTGTATCTTTAGTGATGTAGGAAAGAAAGAAATATGGAGGAAGCGTTTTGGTGCAACTCAATTTCATGTTTAGAACTTTTGAAAAGCTGTACTGTCGGCTATCTAATTGATCAAGTTTCCTGGAGAGATGCATATTTAATGTTGTAGGGAAGGAAAAACAGTGAATTAGTGTTATCTGAGGGATTGGAGTTTGAAGCATCTTCTTTCAGAGTATGCTTTTCCGAACTTATCTCTCTCTTCGTTAATTTCTAAGATTAGTACGCTTTGAATTATTTTTGGGAACAGTTTTCTCTAGCTTAGAGAGACAAGGAGATGAATCGAGGTGGGGCTGACTCATCTTTATTTTCCCATAATAGATTGGTTCCATATCATGGCTTGAATGAATCTCTATCATAATTATGTTTCATACTTTGATTGGGTCAGCTATCCCAGTGCAAGTTGATTTGGATGCTGTCCACATGTGGGGCTAAGCATTTGTTGCCATCGACATAGCTAATTGATGACACTTGGTTGCATAAAGCTGCTAGACCACTCTAGAACTTGATGGAACAAGAAATACACTACCTAACAAAAAATTACAAACATGATAGCACATGCCAAGACAAAGTATAATGTGTTTTACTAATTTAATGTAAATGTTCAGAAATGTGCATCTTAATCTTGAGTCTTACCTATTGTTATTGTACCCTTAGGGATGTATTATTTCTTTTGACGCCATGTTATCATTACAGTTAAGAACTCTTTGATTTCTCAATTTGTCTATTTTCATGCAAATGACATTGATAAGCAATATTTGCTTTTGAAGAAGGTGTAATATATTCATGATATATATGTGTTCATTTTGTTGTCTAGAATTATAATAACTCTCTTGCATTCTGAGGTTTAATTCTAGGTCTTTGAGTATATTCAACAAAGTAGTTGGATTTAGCTATAGGAGTTATCTAGGTCAACATTAAATAATGGAAAATTTCTCTTTTACTCATTGTTATTGCAAGAATATTTGTTTGACTTCTGTGTTGAGAGCATTCATAAAGTACATGTTTCAGTTTCTAATTGGAGCTATATATATGTGGTATCTTGGTTTCTTTTTTTGTTTTGATGGCATGAACATAGAGTTAGTTCTTGTTATTTACTGATTTTGCAATGCTTTTCTTCAACATCCTTTGTTCTCTTTTCGACCCAAGTAATTATGCAAAAATGAAGAAGCTGAGTTTGTAGTATAACCCGGGTGTGCACAAATCATTTTCCTAAATATTATTAGGTACAACCATTGACCCTAGTATTAATTCTGGATACCTAAATTTTACTTAGTAATTAGCTAGACAAGTCCAAATGCGGATTTGGGGTCCTTTCTTGCATTAAACACTTAGGCAAAAGGTTAGTTGATGCTAGCTAGAACAATCAAGTCTTGAGGTATTGGTTGTTGAAAATATGTTGACAAATCTAGGTATCCTATTAAATTTAATTTCTTGTTACAACTTTCGATCTTATCATTTAATATGTATCATGCTTCTCATATATTGTATTGACTGTGTGCCTTTATGTACATGTTTAACAATCCTGATTAACCATTGTGAGGAGGCATGGCTGTTGATGTTGCATGGAATGATACGTTTTCTGTTCTAAGTTGTTTGATTTATGACTGTTGAATTTCTTAACTTTATATAAGAATTGCCCACACTCCTCCTTGCTTGTGCCATGATGCCCGGATTGAGAAAAGCTGGCCGCCATTTTGGTGCTTGATTTTGTCTAGGGTAAGGTTTTCCACATCATATGAAGGAACTGTGAACCATTCTGCTTCTGTTCTTGTAGTTATTACGTAACACTTACTGGAACTGTCTAATTTTCCACCTCTAATTCTGACTAAAACGTGGGATTGAATTCCTGCATCGAACCCATGCTCACTTGCTTGGCATTTTATTGCATCAACATTGTTGATTGTCCCATACTTTTCCTTCAGACAAACCTCTCTGCCGCTGTGTCTTTTGTTTTTTTGTTATTATTTCTTTGTTTTTGGACAAGATTATCACAATGTTTTCTTCTTATTCCGTACAATGATGATTTATAATATGTATATGATGTTTGCCTCACTTTTAAATAAAAAGAGTAAATTATAAATAAAAATAGCCCATTACCATAAAGTGCCAAATTATATTGTGCAAATTGTTATACAAGAAATAACTCTCTCTCTCTCTCTCTCTCTCTTTTTAACGACATGTTTTTAAGGGGTAACATTCAATGGAGGAAAATAAATGCAACCAACAAACTAGAATATTGAAGCATTTCGCAAAATTGTTTCATATCTTTTGAAAAATGATTCTGCTACATTAAAGAAACTATGGAAGTCCCTGACTCTTTGTATACGAGGGCTTAAGGATGGTAAGCAATTAAGATGTTATAATAATTAAAATGTAAAAAATGATAATAAAAATACTATTTATATGGGTGATAAAGTGTTTTTATATGAATAATTTAGTTAATTATTTTACACATATTTCTTAAAAATTTTATTAAAAATATTTAAATAATTTTACATACAATTGCAGCATCTTAAACATATGGACGTCTACTTTTCTCAAGAACTTGACTCGACCCATTCCGGATTACAAACAAATTGCGTGCGTATTTTCAAATTCTAAGGGTGACTGCATGCACTCTACAAGTAGAGATGGCAACAAGTCTCTACAGGGGCAGAGACCCCCTCCCCATGTCCATTTTTGCTAATGACGGGTACGTAGATTTTTACAGGAATTTTTGGCAAAAAATAAAAAATAACCTACATCCTCGTACCTGTAAGGAATTATAGATTTTCGTAGGCATTCAGAATCTCCACTAAATAAAACTATCACCTGCTTTGCTACTAGTTAATCAAAATTAAGCTCAACATGAGTCTACTAAGACTTCATCGGTTTCCATATTTATCAAATAAAACTAGCTTAAATAGTCATATAAAGTAAAAATTTGAAATAAGACAAACAAGTAAATATATTACACATGTGGTGCCACAGAGGAGGAGTTTGTGAGTTATGATTTAGAGGACTTGCTGACTTGGAGGATGTGCATGAGGTAAGGAGGATGACCAAGAGTTAGAGTCTTGGAGTTGGAGATGAGTGGAGGCAACTCAAGCAAGCAGCCACTATCATTTTCACGGGCAATAACGAGGGATGCTGAGAATAAAGTGAGCTGTTGATGGCCTTTAAGTGTGGTTGAGATATTGGAGAAGAGTTGTTGAGTGCGAGCGAGAGATGAGAGAAGATTAGCATTGCACAACAGGTAATGACGGTGAGAGCTTGAGGAGAATTAGATATGAGGAATAGATAGCTTGAAGAGAATCAGAGATGAGGAACGGAGATGGAGTTACGGTGGCAAAGAAGGAATTTGAAGACTAAAAACTTTGACAATCCTACTAGGGTTACTAAAATGAGTTGTGCAAATTGGGTTGGCAATTAGGTTTGAGAAGACTAGATTGACTAGAAGTGCACAAGGAATGGGTTGTATTGGACAATTGGGTTTGGGAAGACCAGAAAAAGAATGGGATGTGAAATTTAGGTTGGATTGGTATTGTGGGTGAATAAAAATTAATTGTTAATTTCTTTATAAAATATTTATAAAAATAATTTTTTATTTTATTTTATATGGATCTTTATGGGATCCCACGGGGTGAAGGAAATTCCCCGCAAAATTTCACAGGAAAAAAAAATGCTTCCATTCCCACCTCACGGAAGGAATATTCTTGAAATCTCCATTTCCGTGATGAGGATCTCCGTGAAATTCTATAAATCGTGGAGGAAATTACCATCCCTACATGTGCAATTTGCTTACATATTCTATTTATGCAAGTGGTAAAACAAATATATATATATATACACACTCTCTCTCTCTTTTAAAGTTTGCACTGCATAAAAAATGGATAGCAAAAATATTTAAATATTTTTAATAAACTTGTATTAAAAATATTTTGATATTTTCATGAAAAAATTATATATAGTTTAAATTGTTTCAAATAACACAACAATAATTATTAAATAATAGGCATGTCTTGTGATATTAAGATGTTAAGAGTATGCATTTTATCCATTTACATTTTTTTAATATGATATAATCTAAATTGTATATATATAAGTCTTTTCATAATGCTGTCCACACTTTTTTTTCTTTCTTTTTTACATTCTTCGAGCAGAAAAAAACCACTCTCTAAAAGAAACATCAGGCCATAGAGCTCGCAGTTTAGGAGTGGAATACCCTATTGAACTTGTTGATGGATAGTTTAGAAGTTACCTTTCCAAGGATGATTGTTGTTTAATTGTACAGATTCATCTCTGTGTCATAAAAAAAAACAATAACAAACCAAGCAACCTATTAACAATCCAGCTCATGCAATTTGGGCACAAGGAAAATTATTTAGTAATTTTTTATGTTTTAATTTTCTGTAGACACTCAAGAAAGATACTTATGTTTCCTCCTCGGGTTCTCCTTTAAAGAATATCTAATTAAATTATTAAAAAAATTATTCAGTTTAAATTATAATAAATTATGTATCATTATGCTAATTATTGGGTAAAGATTTGCTGTAGTTTAAATTATCAACTATAGTTTCCTTATAAAAAAAAGTTCAAAAAACAATGAATCTACATGAAAATTTTATTTTATAATTTTAATTGTATTAAATTATAAAATAAAAATTATTAAATCATATGTGAGTTTTAGAAGAGATTTATTTTCTATCTAATAATTTATGTTGTATAATTCAAACCATAACTATACAACACTTTTTTCAATCTACATTTTTTTATATAAAACTAATTCTTGGATGGTAAATCCCTTATATTTGGGATTGTATCCCCATTGAAGTCTTTTTTTTTTTGTTCAATTCGATGCCAATGGTGGAAAACAAACCTTTTTACTTATATACATATACAAAAAAAATTGTTTTACAAGATAGATTGTATGTAGTTTACCTTATAAAATTACTTAAATACTGTTAAATTTATTTTTATATTATTTGTTTAAGGCATTGTTTTAAAACCGAATCGAACCACTCAGTTTGATTGGTTGAACCGAAACCAATCACAAAATTGGTTCGAATTATGACATAAACTTGGTTTGTAATAAGATTCCGTCAAATTTAGTCAAACTTGGTCAAAACTTGAAAAATCTGGTTAAACTCATTAATTTTTGAATTGATAAACCGTCCAATTCATATATTTTGAAAACTTTCAACAAGTTTGTGTACTCAATAGGGTTCGAACCCCACTCCTTTTGAAGTTTTCACCATTGGACCACCAATACCACTATTGCCACTTTTACACAAAATTTTATTTATTTAGATAAAATAAAATAAAATAAAGCTTGTATTTATGTAATTTTTAATAATTAATTATTTTCTAAATCAATATCATGTTAATGATTTTAATTGTATATTTAATAAATAAAATTTTTTAATATGTGTTCTTAGGATATAAGTAAAATTTTATTAACTATAATATTTTTAATTAATTTTATATAAATTCTTATATTAGATTTAATTAAAATAAAATATAAAATATAAAATTGAAATATAATATAATATTTATAATCAAAATTT